CGAAATTCTGGCATGTTGTTGGAAACATTTCTTTTTACTTTGCGCGTGTGGTATTCCTCCACAAGGTGGAATTTCATCATACGGACCATGAACAGAGTTCATGAAAATGTGGAGACCTTTTTTTTTCTCTTTTTATAAATTTTTATATTATTATTTTTCCAATCAAGCAAAGAGGTGAATTATTTATTTCATTTATTTAAACACAAAATATTTAAACACTTTTTATTTATTTAAACACTTTTCAACAAGAGATTGTCATTAAAGTGCATACAAAAAGAAATGCATGAAACTTTATTCGTTGACATTCAATGATTTACATGTGTCGGGATGATATTTATTGTAGAAACGGGAAACAATAATTCTTTCTGCATTTAGCACACGTTATAAACACCGCATTTTTACAACCACATCGTTGTTTCATCTTCATAGAAAAACATACTTGATTGACATTCACGTAGCATTCTCTCTCATCGCAAAGTTTAGAAGCGAACTACGCATAATGTTGCATGTTACCAACTGATGAACAATTGAATGTATTTTTATGCAGTCTTCTCGTTATTTCTTTTTCTTGCCCAATGTAATAAGAACAGTTTTGTATTTTTTTAATAAAGTTTTTAACTTGACAATAAAAACATACATCACAGGGTTGTACCAGTGGACTACATTAAGAGGGTATTACTTTGATGCTACACGTTGGCAATCCTTCTTCATCTTGGATGAGTTTGTGTAATTGCGGATTTGTTTGGACTTCCCCCAAGACAATCAATCAGCAGAGAAAAAAATTTATTCACTTGTATGTAAGGCTTCATCACATACATTAAAAATTTTGAGATCTTGAAGAAGTGATGACGACATTCTTGTATTTTGCTGCGTATTCATCAACTGTTTTTTCAATCCCAGTCCAAAAGAGCCAGTATTCTCTTGTAAGCCTGCATAAGCTTTGGCAGTAGCTTTCCGGAAAGGCTCAAAGCATACTGCGCTGTATGTGAGTGGATTACTTTGTTCATAGCCTTTCTTTTTACAAAAACCTTTTTTACCCCTAACTGTTCCAGGATTCGGTTATACATCGGCTGGTTCTGACAACCTGGAAAGAGAATATACGTATGTAAATTTATTATATGCATCATTAAGCAGAGTACTTCATTCATTCCAACACAAATCTTGTAATTGAGGGAGACGAATAATTATTCTTGACTTACATATTTGATCAGTGTTGATAACAAAATCCTTGTCGTATTGAGGAATGAGAGGTCGAGTTTGGAGTCAGAAATTTTCCTCTTGTGTAGCTGTCTCTTTTTCCAACACAAATCTTGTAATTTTCCTCTGGCGAATCTTATGCCCTTGTTTAAAGTCCATGACCCACGATTCGCAAGCTTTAAATTCCTTGACTGGCAGCCCATTGTTGCAAGTTTCTTGTGGTGATTTGCTGGTTACAACTTGTATTGTATTTATCCTTTCGATTTCCATCATTTTTAATATGCTGTTCCCAAATCTTCAAATTTCGCATATGCTTCAAGCAAGATGATCCTTTCATTTGCAAACTTTCTAAACTCCATGTTGGATGCACTTTGGCAAGATTAACCATCATTATTTTGTAGTCAAGTGGAATGTAATCTGGATCCTCTTTCATTTTTTTTCACTGGGTTCATAACTCATCACTTGATGATGATCTGGAACACTCCAACATTTGATATTCTTCTTTTTGGTCGATTTCTTTATGCCAGATCAACTCTTCGTCGCATATAAACTAATACTCCAATAAAACTTCCACTACTTTCTCATGTATTTTATATCCCATTTGAATGTGCTCTTCGGTTATCACTTCAGAACTTTCTGATGAGATTAGATTTTCTTCATCTAAAAGATATAAACTATAATCCATCTCTGCCTTCAAGCGTTCCTTCGACGCTTCGCTGTGGATTCTATCGTCTGGCTCCTGTTCTTTTTCTGTTGATGATCCAGGTATATCAATAAATTCCCTTTTTTCTGGCCTTTTCGATTTTTCCACAGTATTTTCCTCACAATTTTATTTCACAAAAATTTCGATATCTTCTAGAATATTCTCACACAATTTAAATTACTTAGCCAAGAGCTAGCAAACGAATGAGCTCCCTAGCTAGCATTGTCACTAAAGGTCAAAGACACCTTTTTTCCTACCTGCGCCAAGAATCTATTATTCGTGTACAGCCACCAGGAGCAACCTTCAGCTGAAAACGAATCTTATTGTGAAATAACTATTCATGTTTATGGCACATTCCCCGGAGAGGGGGAAATAGCCAATAAAGGAGAGGAAAAAAAAAAGAATTCCTGTTTGAACACATCAGGAAAGTTTGCAACTTGGCCATCTGGAGTTCCTACTTCGGATACTTTCATTTCTAGAAAAGCCCTGCATGTCCTATAAATTTGAGCAAAATCAGTGATGATGAGTAGGGAATACCCTCTTGTTAAATTCTACAAAATTTGCCGCTCCTTAATTCTGTGCCCAGTGTGTACCTAAAATTCTAAAGCTTTTGCCATTCCTAAATTTTTCCTCTTGGTGCTTATGTGAATTCCAAAATTTTTGCCACCTGCTGTGGCCACACTTGCCATGATTAACAGCCATCATAGGGACTCCTAAAAAATGATGTCATTCCATGAAATGCTAAATCGATGTACCATTTTTGCAGGAATGTGTGAAAAACAAGCCTAATTAGTAGTATTGAATTAAAAATGATCCAACAGTTTCTGATATGCAAATCAAGGCATGTGACGGTGAATCAAGTGCTTTGTGCAAAGTGAATATGTATATGAATTTCTGCAACACAGTTTTTGATTTCAGTGTGTAAGGACTCAAAACAATTTATTATGGCTCTGAAGAATCATTTGGAGCAATTGGTAAATCATTTAGCAGCAGAGAAGATAATTGAAATCAGTGAGATGTGTGAATGTTTCATAATGACAGATGGACATACTCCCCTGTACATTTTCAACAGCAGATCTGAAGACCACATTGTTGAAGGCATAGAACTTAATTTCCTAAACATTTTGTGCGTCATTCCATGTTTGGACTGCTGACTAGTTTATCAAAGCAAGGACTTAGAAAAAGCTAGATTTGAACATTTTGTAGTGAGTGATATTTACAATAACCTTCTCGAGTTATGTAAGTAATGCATTCCATAAACATTTACATAAGTCAAATATGTGAATTTCTGAAGTGTAGGATTTTAATTAAATAACTACATAGATACTTATTATGAAAGAACAGAGAACTTTCAGTCGTGGCCACTGATTTGAACACATAATTTTAAAGAGGCCTGGTTGTGCAATGGCTAGCATATTGCACAGCAAATCTGAGGTTCGATCTACGGTTGGGCAAGGTTTACTCAGCCTTTCATCCCTTGAGTGGGTCGATAAAATGAGTATCAAGTTCGCTAGAGGACTAAATAGGTATGTTAGGTCCTGCGACAAGCTGACCACTTTTCCAGAATAGATGCTCTTACACCCCCAATGTCAAGAAACACATATAAGGGCACTACAGGCCATGGCTCACTAAGGGCTGTAGCACCATGCAGTTTAGTTTAGTATGATTTTAAAGCATTGTAGTCTTTTAAATCAACATCATTTCTTATAATATTTTACAAAGTTATTAACATATCTAGTATTTTTTACGAATGTGTTATTTTGTAAAACATTCACTCTTGTGAAATGGAATCTGACAGATGTGACATATACATCTTATTTCGCTTACAGTTTTCTGATTCATTATTACTTCTTACATCATATAACTTATCTGCTAAACTTCATCACAAATTTATGCATCTTTTACAGAAAAACTTTCATGCTTGTTATTTTAAAGGTCATAAAATTACTTAAAAACACTACCTAAAGAGCAAAACTGCAAAAGAATCAACAATAGTACTATATAGTAGTACCAAGAAAAGTACAATAATAGTAGTGTAAGTACTATAATACAAGTATAGTACCAAGAAAAAATAACACAATGTTCATAAAATGAAAAACTAATGCAGCATATTGAAAATTCAAGCAAAACCACAAATCCATGTGACCTTTCCTTGGAAGCAATACCGGAAAAACATACATTTACATGACCCGTCCGTTAAGTGTTAATATTTTATTTTGAAGTATTTGAAATTGCTTGAGATTTGTTTTAGCAGCATGATCCCAGACCGGGCAAGCATTAAGTAAGGCAGGACGGAGAACTGAGCAGTAAAAGACGAGTTTGTCAATAATAGACATAGTGCTGCGTCTACAAAGGAGTGGTTGCACGATAGCCATAGTGATATTAAATTTTTGGTCTGAGAGTCTAAAGTGATTTCTAAACATGAGTTTCTAATCAAGAGTGATTCTAAGATATTTTGTTTCTGTTGTCCAATTAAGTTTGACATCAAACAAAGTTGGGGAGGGGGTAATATTTTGAGTGTCTATGTGGAAGAAGATTGCTTTTATTTTATCAGATGTGAATTCTCCAATAAGGTGTAAGCCAATTTTCAAATTTCAGTAAACAATTTTGCACTTGCATAGACACAATTGCTATTTTGTTAGCGAAAAAGTCAAGATCAACTACAGGATGATCTTGCAACGCTGTAGTGAAGATGTTGTAAAGATAAGGTAAGAGTGCCAGTCCTTGCAGTATGCCTGTTACAATTTTTCTTATGGTGGAGTACCAGTTTTTACTGTGGAATTCCTGTTGTTGAAAAAGGTTATTAATCTAATGAGATGATCCAGAAAATTAAGTTTAATCAATTTGTATATGAGTTTGCGATGGCATACCCTTTCAAACGCTTTCACAATATAAAGGAATATGGCACCTGTAAGAAACTGGCAGTTAAATCCATCTGTGATGAAGTGATGATAGTTGGAATCGAAATTGTTTGCCTGGGATGTAGTTATTGAGAGAGTGAATTTTTTTAACATGACCATAAAATTCTGACAATTACACAACTGAAATAAAAACAAATTTATGAAAATTGAAATTAAGACGAATAGCTTATATACTTAAATTGGGTCTTATAAATTTATTAAATTTTTCAAAACTTTTCATACAATATCACAAATATAAATACCTTTTACATTCATTACTTATTTTGGATAATCACAACAAATTTAAAAATTTTATAACATATCTCATTTTTAAAATTATAACTTGCATTTTAACATCATTTAGAAAAGTATTACTGAAACTGTGCTTTTTATTAAGACATTTCTAATTTTCTTATTTTATGCAACACTGGAAGACTCCAAAGCTTTTCTCCAAATGCAAACCTGTTGGGCAAATCCACACTAACTTATTGATGTATGCTTAAAAACCAATGCTTAAAAACTAGCTCTGGCAGTTACTTATAAAGGCCTTTGTTCATTGTATAATAGCAATTCACTTTTTTGAACTGCTATAAAACATTCAATTTGGTGTTAAAAAATCTGTCATACATAAAAAAAAATTAATATTTTGTCATAAGGTGGGAGCCTTCAAAATTTATCTTACTACATTGCATATAATCATTAATTAATTATAACAGTATTCAATATTACAGATTTCATATTTTATATTAAAACTTGAAATCAAAATTTTTATTACCTTTTTCTATATAAATGTTTCCAAAATTGCATGATTCATTTTTACTATTCAGATCATTTTCAAAATAATTATAAAATTCTTAGCAATATTTCAAAATTTTCAACATAAATTCAAAAATATAATTATTTATCTTAAAAACCTTCCCTAAAATAATTTTTAAAATCTTTACTTACTTTACTAAATCAAATTAACAGAATTCAAATTTCTAATACCATAAAATTAATACTTTTTCATATAATAACGCTACATTTTAAAAACACAATTTAGTCAGAAAACTATGAATTTGTAATGCGCATGTGATTATGGAAAAGCAGAAAAGAAAATAATTTTCTAGCATGCACTTAAGCATAATTTTCAATCCTTTACAGATGAAAACTGATAGGACTAACTCATTCACATAAGAGATAAAGGAAGCAAAGAAATAATGCAGTCTGATGAGCTCCAAAGCACTTTTGAACAGATCCGAAAATTGCTTTCATTCACTACACACTTCATTTTTTAAAGCACTGGTAAAACACCTCAGCAGAAGAGAGACAGGATTTTTTAAATCTTGAAGAAGAGTCCAAATAAAATTTTCAATTGCACACTTGAGGGATCCTATTGACTAATTAATATATCTAACTCAAAATTACTAACTAAATCTAGAAAGTCCTTTTTAATTTCTGATTTTACTTTGGCTACGTTTTCTCTTTCTGGAATCTAAAATGAGTCATATCTGAAAACTAATCGGCATTATGTCATCTTATTCTTCTGCATTGTGGATAACTCTCATACAACTACAGAGCTTAAAATTCAAGTAACTCAGTTTAATAATGCTGTTACTATTGTGCACCTTTTTATCTACTTCCCTTTCCCACTGCTTAGAGTGTCACTTAGCCTCTGCTAGCTTATGTTTATATTTCTGAAAATGTAAGCTATATAAAATTGTGGGTTGCATCTCAACCCCATAAATGATGCTGTGTGAATCTGTTTATGTATATCAAGGATTGCTCTGTTAAGAAAAACAAAATTATGTGTTCAAATCAGCAGCTACGGCTGAAAATTGCTCTCTGTTTTCTCATAATATGTATCTATACAGTTGTTTAGTTAGTCATCAACAGAACTTATTACACATATATAAATTACATATTGATTACATTATCAATACTTATATATATTAATTGTAGTATCGCTACATACATATTATGCTATCGACTTAGAAACTCACCAAGCAGTGTGATCTAATAATGCAAGAACATACTCATAACACCTGCATTTTTGTTTGCTATAATTCCGATTGATTCTTAATAAGCCTCCTTTTATTTTTATAGACATGCATTTAAATTAACCATTACTCTAATTTTGAAAAAATAAAAATAAAATAAATTCTGGGATCTTCCTTTTTACAGAACAAGAAAAGCGGATTATTTTCAAAATTATAGTATTCTTGGAAGAATTAGCTGCATTCTAAACAGAGCTTCCAGTAAAATTGGAAGGCCTTAAAATAGCAGAAATCGACAAAAGCCTTTTTACGAAAAGAAAAAAAAATGAAGTGGGTTAAATACTTCATTTTTTTTATTAAGTAAAAAGGTGAGAGTTCTTTCAAATTCAGCAGGCATGATTGGTGCAACTCTGGGGTAATCTCTACCAAATTTCATGGTATAAAGGTAGTTAACTATCACAGTCGACAGGTTAATACATATGTACCATTATTATTTTATGAATTAACCATGTAAATATTGTATGATGTGAAAAGTACACGTTGAGAAAGAAAAAATTGTTAAAAAAGCCCTTATTTCCAATTAGAAAGTTTCAGTTTGAATGATATGACTTTAGTATACTTCTATAACTGCAAATTTACGTAAGGGAATTACTGCACAGGTTTGTAGATCTAACATTTCAAAATAAAAAGTCACAAAGGAATAATGCATTAAAGCAAAAAGAGAATAAACCAAAAGCATTTAAAAATATAATAAATAAAAACAGAAAGGGAACTTATCTCATAATACCTCTTCAGGGGACTGGTGCAATATCATAATGCAATGGGATAGACAGCTACATAATGAACAATGTACTGAAGCCAAAATTTTATATTAAATCAATGGTTTCAGACAATTTATACAAATCAGAGCAGTTAAATTATCCATTAATGTAGTCCAAGTTAAATGGTTAAAAAAAAAGGATGGTTGAATTCCAACCACAAATGCAATATAAAATGGATAATTTTCAAGTTTGTGATGCATTTCAAGTTCAACCAAAAATTTAAATGAATTTAATCAGTGGTAAATGTACTAACCCTAAAAGCACAACCTGAAATCTATTAACCAATTTAAAATCAGGTTGTTAACACTCTTATTTTCTATTACACAGCGCCAAATATTCCCCTAGTGTGACTTTTGGAACTAATTTGTTTTTTCACGGAATCCTTTGTCCCCCCGTGTTGTTTAATCTTCCTACAAAATGTGGCGTCATTCTAGCAAATAGATCGCGCTACAGAACACTGTGAGCACTGTCAGTTTAATTATGGCCACACAGTATATATATATATATATTCTCCAGTATCTGTACATGTTATAAATAACAAGACTGTATGTCAAAAAGAGTAAATCCTCCAATTTTCCCGCCTATGAATAACAATTTACATATTAGCTGCCTATTTTTATTTATACAAGCATGATAATAAAGCATATATATTTATTCATCATTGATTTTATTATCCATAAAATGTAACACATAACGCTGGTGTATATTTTCAGGTGGAGAGTACCCATTTGTATACGAGGAATCTTCAAACAGAACTTGATAAGGATCATGAGCTTTTCTTGGAGGCTTATGTATAACGGCTTTGTAGAAGCAGGTAGTCTGTGGATATAATGCCAGAACAAGAGCTCCTTTAGGAAAAAGAGCATTAGGATTAGTTTCAGGATTAGCCCTTGTTACAGGAAGAGGAATAACTTTGTTATAGCCAATAATATACTCAGTTCTCATCTCTTCATCTATGTCATCAATTTTGTATTGATTAGTCATTTGATTGTAGCCAGTAACTTCAGCTAGAATCCAATCCTCGTTTTCTGACACTGTCACTAAAGCTGCAACCATATCACCAACCTGTCGTATTAAAAATAATCATGCCATATAACTGGATGGAAAATATTAAAAAATATAGTTTTGTTTCAAGATATAACTTTTTATTTTTGAAACAACTCTTTCACACTTTTATTTACATTCATGAATAATTAAATTTCAAGTGATCAGAGAATTTTCTAGTCAAAAAGCATACTTTTTATGAATACACTGCACTGGCTTTGCTCACTATGCAGAAAAGATATTGTTCCAAGAAACACGTGCAGTAACAGTGCACTTTTAGCACAACCATTTGCAGCACTATGCTACAATTCAATGTATTCCAGGAACAAGCTTTGGCAGGAACAAGCATAGCATGAAAAGGACATCGTCCTCACTAGTGCCATTTATCAGTGAGTATGACCATTAAAGATTCAAAGTTCTGCACACCCATAATAAATGCTACTAATTACTAAGTACAGAGGGCACCACAAGATTGGGAAGTTTTAACAATGGCACTCAAACACAGGCAATCAACTACCTTGCAACAGTATCCACTAGATGTCCGTACTTCACCCCATAACCAAACAGCAAAATACATAACAACAGACAATGGCCTCAAACATGTACACATGCTCAAAAGGCTGGCTTATGCTACTATGCATAACTGTTTATCAAATATTGTGCATATCCAATGAATGCACTCTGAGGAGGCTCTGTTGCAACTTTGTTCAATGAGCAGAAAAAACATCGCTCCCAACCCAATGGCAGCAGAAGTGCACTTTTAAGGCAATCATTTATAGCATCATTCTACAGATCAGTGGGTCCCAGGATCGATCCTCAACCCTAGCAGAGTAACAAAAAAGACACTGATCTTCATTGGCATTATCTATTTATAAACATCACCTTTAATAACTCCAAGCTCTGAACCAATTTACCAAGTATACACAATGCCATCTCACAGTGATTAGATGCAGTTGGTCTGTATGCATGGAAGCCTGTTCGATGCATCATACTTCAACCACGCCATCGTCGAGAAAGATTATGTTGGTGTAAGGAACATGTTGGTTGGGGTCACCAACAGTGGTCCAGAGTGGTATTCTCCAATGAATCCCATTTGACTGTGACGAGTGATTCTGGCAACCAGATAGTACAAAGAAAGAGGGGAACACATTATGCATAAGTAATTGCTTATAGTTCAACCTCTCTAAACTGTGTCATACTTAAATTAACCCCATACCCCGTGACTTAATAGTGCTTACGATGCAGGTAATTTTGCAAACTGAAACACAACCAGTCAATCAGAATGAAGGGAACATAAATCTTTACCAAACTTTCATTCTGATACATCACATTTTCATTCTTACTTTTGTCTCACCAACTTGCTAATGCTTGCTGCTTCAAATGTATTTCAAAATTTTATCGGTACCAAAGTAATTCTTCAAGAATAGCCACTTATCATGTTCATTATGATGTGTTTAAGTGATATTAAAAAGCTGTGTCTAAAGAATAAAGAAATGTGTTTAATTGGACATGATTAAAAGTACCTGCCATTGATGGAAATAGTTAAAATTTGCCATTAATGGAAATAGTATAAAAGTAATTCAAGGAAAAAAGTAACCTAAAAATTTGAAATATGTTTACTATAAAAAACTTCAAACTAACCTTTGCTATGTAATTTGGCTTGGCAGGTATGGCTCCACATAATGGTGGTGGTGATTCAGTTGATTTGCCGACCCATAAAGGCAAACTCATACCACTCAGCGTGATTGACTTCATTAATGATATTTTGCTTTTTACTTGTCTAGAACCTGTTAACATTATTAAATATTTGTAATTATGATAACTTCTCATAAAATATGATTTTATTGTGCATTCATATTTCTGGTATTCAGAGGCAAATAACTTTAAAGAAGTTTTAAAATAAATTAAATAACCTTATTAATAAAATCTTATAATAAATAGACAAAATAATACAATTCTAGTGTATTAAATTTTTATAAATTTCATATATTTATCAAAATCTTTTTCATAGCATATAATGATACAGAAACAAAATATTAAAAAAATTTTTAGTTTATATTAATAAATTTTAACGCATGTGAATTATTTACAAACTAGAAAAAGTAATTAATTAAACTAAAAATCACCACATAGTTTATGCTTAAAATATTGTTGTTTTATAATACAAAGTCATCTCAGACAAACACAATTTTGCATTCTATCAGGGTCACCATACTTTACAATGAAAGCTAAGATCATTTTTCACTTTTTGATTATACAGTTAATTTTAGGCTCAAAAGCTTTAAACATATACTGTATTTGACGGCATATAAGACACACCCTTATTTAGAAGGTTACACACAAGGAAAAAAAGTTTCAATAGTCCACCAAAATAACTTAAAATGTGGTTTCTTTTAGTTCTTATGTTTCGTAAAAGCAAAATAAACAATCATTAAATGCAATTACCAAACATATTTTTATTAAGGAAAATTAACAAACTGCAAGCTATTTTGAACATGATATGAAAATTTCAATAATGAATAAATGAATGAACGGCAAGATATCAAAACTATATAACAAAATAAAGCAGAAACAACAAAAAACACAGATTCAAGGAAACGTTGCCTATCATGAAATTAGACTTTAATCACTTTCAAACCCATAAAACTCCTTTTCACTATCATCATCATCAAAAACGAGAATATCGTCATCACTACTGTTTCCGTCATTGCTAGTATCCCCTTCTTCGAATAATGCGTCATCTTCTGTTCCATCAAGAGCATTATTGATTCCGCACTTCTTAAAGGACTTAACAATTACTTCAGCCTTTACGTCCTCCCAAGATCTTTTTACTCACTCGCACATTTGTGAAATAGAGGGCCGCTTCATTCTACCTGAGGGTGTAAGGGCGTGATGTGGCTCTCCTATCCACTTGTTCCATCATTCTCGCACTTTTTCCTTAAATGGCTTATTCACCGATACTTCTAAAGGCTGCAATTGGCTAGTCAGTCCACCAGGAATGACAGCTATCTGGGTTTTTAATTCTCTCGCTTTATTTTTTATGGTTTCAGTTCTATGGGCACTAAACTGATCCAAAACCAAAAGAGAGGGTTTTTCTTAAGAGTCCACCAGGTCGCCTTGTGCATACATTCTGTAATCACAGTTTCATTCCAGCTTCATCCATCCAGCCTTTTCGATGAACATGAACAATTACACCCATTGGAAGTTTTTCTTTTGGATAAGTTTTTCTTTTGAATATGAAAAACGGCAGTAGTTTTGTGCGATCAGCACAACATGTTAGAACTACCGTATATCTGTTTTTTTCATGACCTGTGATTTTTATGGTTATTGATTTTTAGACTTTTTAATACTCACAGTCTTGTTGGATGGTACATTAAATGTGAGTGGAATTTCATCCATATTTCCTATTTGACCGAGCTAAAAAAAAATGTTCTTGCATGCATTTATAACAAATCTATGAAATGATAGTATTTTTCCTTCATAATCTGCTGGCATTTTCTGTGCAATAGTTGTTTTTGTGCGCATTGATAAGCCTTGCCTTTTCATGAACCTGTAGCACCAGCCCTCAGACCCTGAAAAGTTCTGATTCCCATGTTTTTCTGCAAATCCTTTGGCCTCATTGATTATCATTTTGGTTGAAACACTTTTCCCAGATATCTATCATCCACATTTTTACGGCATTCTTGGCCAATGGAGCTGGGCATCGAGATTTTTGAGTATTGAAAGTTAATTCCTTTACGTATAAGATGCAGGTACCTACCAAATTTAGGAAAAAAGTGCATCTTATATGCCGTCAAATACGGTATACTATGTTCATTACACAACTTTTATTCTTAGACCTTGTACTTCCTATCCATATTAAGAGCTGATCCTTGTGATGCATCTGCATATGGGTGAAAAAAAAATCTATCCATTTGCAAAATGGGGTAAATGTGTTTATTTTGTTATCCAAGATGCATGGGGTTTATTTTATGTCTTGAACATGCATCTTGTATAGAATTAGACATTTTGGACAGTATTTAATCAGTGGAATTTTATATCTGGGAAAAATCTGTGTATAACCTCTGAATTTTATTCTGAAGCTTTAAAATCTGACTTGGCATTTATGATTTTATGTATTTTCTACTGTTTAAACCTGCTTTCAATATAATGGTGTGTTTAAAGATATAACTTTTTTCATTTAAATTTTCTCAGTTAAAACCCAATGGATAAAGTTTCAATAAAGCAATTATTACTTGCTTAAAAAAGGCAAACTTATCACTGACTTTGGAGAAAAATGCTTTGTTTTTCTCCTAAGTTACAGCCAATTTAACTAAATAAAATTCATTGTATCCCATTAACTCAAGATCCAATCCTTATAGAAGTCATAATGCAAAAAAAAAAAGGTCTCTCCTAAGTACAGCAATTTGTTTCACTAAAACAATGAAACACATGTTGTATAAACTCAAGATTCTATGATAAAACACTGAATAATAGGTGCGGATTATAAACTTGCGGCCACAAAGTAAAATTTCCAGTGACTGCAGTATTTGGCCACGTTTTTTGGACTGAAATTTTCATAGTACTTTTTTGGGCACATGTAAATATAATAGTCAAAAAGTTTGTACTAAATTTAACCAAAAATACTTTTTTTAATGGGACATACGTTAATATACAGAAAACTGTTTTGAGCTAATATTAAGCAAGGAATATCGAATGCGTTGTACTTCCTCAATGAGTTGTAAAGCTTTCTTGATTAATTCAGTTTCTTTTTCTGTATATTGAAGTGCTGTATGATACATGTTTTTTGGTTTCCCCCCTTCTTGATCTAACCTTTTTAATTCCACTTGCATCTGTTCATGAGTTTTCTGTATGTTACTTATAGTTTCAACACTTTTCTTCCTTTCTCCCTAAAAACAGAAATAAAATGGTATTTCCTATTATTATAAACCAAAACACACATAACTGTTACTTTCAGCTTTATTTAAGTACTCAGTTAATAAGAAGAAAGGAGGGAGGATAAAAACAATCTGAAATGTAATGTCTTGAAAAAGAATCTGCTATAAAAGTTTGGGAAAATTTTTTTAAGGATAAAAACTACAGTCTATCTCAAATATAATAAACTATTTCAGCTATAAAATTAAACTAGAATTAAAGTTAAAACTGAAATTTTTCTTTTAATAAATATCTCTGTTTTTACTACATATATGTATTAAAAAATATTCTAGGGAAATTTTTTTAAAAAAAATAACACCTTTTTTTTAAAGGATGAAAAACACCTACAGTTAACTAGCTTCTTAAATAGAAATAACATCTACTATTGTCAGCTATTAAAATTAAACCTAGTGCTAATTAAAGTTAAAACTGAAAATTTTCAGTTTTAATTACAGAATATATCTCTGCTTATATTACTACATATTATGTATTAAAAAATATTACTACATATTACAAAATCTTGTCAAAATATTAAATTTTACTTTACATGCAGAGAGTATAATTTATAGGTACAAGCAGAAGTGAGCAGGACACCAGAACTTCACCACTGGGTTGTACAAATGCAGTCCCGCACATTAACTGTGAAGTTCTGCTCTAGTTTTGATGGAGAACACCTTGACATACCAAGGGTATCCCATTCCACTTTCCCTACCCTTAATTTCCTAATAGGACTTTCATCTCACAATGTATTTTGAGCGTCCTTTTGCTGCTTACACACATCCATGCCTTCTCCAGGATTTGAACCTGAGCTCATCGGTATGGTAGTCAGCATAACTAACCACTACATTAGCTGGATAGAAACAGTAATGTACACAAGAATAAGTTAGAAATTTTGCTATATTTAGTTTTGTTAATGAACGGGAGAACTGCCCTTTGATATTAAGTCCATTTTGATACTAAGGTTATTATTGTATATTCAGATGGAGAGTTTGCCAAGACACTTTCATTCTTAAAATCTTGAACCGATGGTTCAGTACATTTTTTTCAGGAACTGTGCTTCACACAGCAATCAACAATGAACATGATTTTACTCTAGGATTTATTAGGAAATGTAGATAAAACAACTTATGAATGGTTAACTTATGCTGTATTCCAGAATGCCTTGTTGTAATACTAAAGATCTTTCTCACTATCTTTTCCAAACATATTAAATATAAAAATACTGAAGGCACGGGGGATACAAAAATTTTTTTCAAGTAGTTCAGTTTAGGTCTTTTTTTTAAGCAAATACACTGCACTAAACAATAAATTTCAACTTGCTTCCTGTATTCTCAGTGCTAAATATATTTCCTTTGCACTTTTCTATTGTTTTTGTCTTTCATTTTCCATAATAATTTTTAATCATTATATATTTTTGTTTAATCAAACTGGTAGGTTCTTATTTTACATGCTATGTTCTTTTATTTCAATAGTAACAATAACTTATGCAAAGTTAAAGATATGAGCAGAAACCCTCCTAGGAAATTTAGTGCTGTACAGTGGTTTTTTGCCAAACTGGCTACATTTTCAGTTTCCTGAAAACATACTTAAAATTTCTAAAAATAATTTTTCTAGAATTACCCTCTCCCTTAGGCAGTGTTATAAATAGGATGCTGTAAGATATTGGTTTTCAGAGCTTGCAAATGCTTTGCTAAAGAACCCTTCACTTAATGATTACTACTATAGACATTTGTGCTTTGCGAGTGATTTTGCCATTCTGCAGCATTCTTAAAGAAGAAGTGATAAGAAAACTTTATCTTATTTCTATTTTATTTTTGGACTATTACTGGTACTTATGCTGCATGAGCTGTAATTTATTTCAATACAGTTTCAATTTCTTCGAGTTTATCTATCATAGTTTATAAGGTTTTTCCTAAGTTTTTAACAGTTATTGTAAGTTAAAGCTAATTTCCTGTCTATCCTAATTTCAGCTTACAATTTCCTACCAGAATGTGTTTTTAGAATAGCATTAAATGCAAATTATTAAGAGTAGTATTTAATTCGAAGTTCCACTGACTTTGAGAGAGAGCCTCAGAGTTTCTGAGTAGCGTACATTTGCCAGACTAGCATACTGTTAACATATTACAGTAATAGCTTAGAGAGACATATACTGGCCCTTGATAGCTTCAGCAGCTAATCCTATATTTAGGGGCCAACTACTTAGAATTTTTGATAGCTTTAGCTATATCTCTTTAGATAAGCATTAGTTAAGTCTTATTTCTTATTATTTTGAGTTCAAGCCCAAGTGGAGGCTTTGCTGTAAGACCTGAGAAAGGGGCCAACTGTTCACTCATTTTGAGTAATAAAGGGTAATTAACCTTTCTTGAGTTTATGTTTCTGTTACTAAACTTAAGCAATTATTGGCTTAGCTGTTCACAAAGTTCCTTCACATTCAGCTGTTAGATAAAAGGGTGGAACACCCTATTTGGCACCCAAAGTATTTCTAACAATCTATGCCGTTGAAGAATGAAAAATTTATGTTCACCCCCTCCGACCTTTCAAATCCCTCAACTATCAGCAAACCCAATTGGAAGGAATTGGATTCATTGTAAAACAATGAGAGCAGCTATGAAGCCAGCTGCAAAATTTGATGGCAAAGGTTTCGTGATGACCTTCCTCAAGCAGATGCACCTGCATTTCACATTTATAGTATTTGACGGCATATAAGACGCACTTTTTTCCCTAAATTTGGTCTCAAAAAAGTTGCCTGCGTCTTATATGTGAAGGACACAGGTTAAATTTCAATACTGAATGCTATTTTTAGCCCAGATAAAGGTCTAGACACAACTAACTTTTTCTACATCTGCCATAATTATTTTGCGCATGCACGAAATATCTGTCGCCAAAAAGCGCCAAACCTCGAAGCTGATGTGGAAGTTCGAACAGGTTTGATGATTACATTACGTCTATGGAGCCTTTCCTTCTTTAGATAGACTTTCTTTGACTCAGCCGACACACGTGTCGGTATTGGTGCTACTCTGTAAAAATGTGTCGGTATCGGTGCTTAAAACTATTTGTTTTAAAAAAATACCCTGGAAACTATGACTACAGGAAACAAGAGATTAAGCTATACAATTCAGTATAAACTAGGAGTGTTAAACTATGCCAAAGTGCATGGAAAAAAGCAGCAGCAAGGCATTTCGGTCCACCACCTACCGAAAAAATGATACGTACTTCGCAACTGCAGGAAGATCAACTGAAGACTGCTCAAAAACAAAAACATAACCTTCGATGCCTAGCTCCATCTTGGCTTGAACTTGAAAATGCCGTAAAAATGTGGGTGATAGATAAGAGGAAATCTGGGATAAGTGTTTCAACTAAAATGATAATCAATGAGGCCAAAGGATTTGCAGAAAAACATGGGAATCAGAACTTTTCAGGGTCTGAGGGCTGGTGCTACAGGTTCATGAACAGGACAGGCTTATCAATGCACACAAAAACAACTATAGCACAGAAAATGCCAGCAGATTATGAAGAAAAAATACTAGCATTTCATAGGTTTGTTATAAATGCACGCAAGAAAACTTCTTTTGAGCTCGGTCAAATAGGAAATATGGATGAAATTCCATTCACATTTGATGTACCATCCAACAAGACTGTGAGTATTAAAGGGTCTAAATCAATAACCATAAAAAACCACAGGTCATGAAAAACACCAATATAAGGTAGTTCTAACATGTTGTGCTGATGGCACAAAACTACCGCTGTTTTTCATATTCAAAAGAAAAACTCATCCGAAAGAAAAGCTTCCAACGGGTGTAATTGTTCATGTTCATCCGAAAGGCTGGATGGACGAAGCTGGAATGAAACTGTGGTTACAGAACGTATGGGCGAGGCGACCTGGTGGACTCTTTGAGAAAATTCTCTCTTTTGGTTTTAGATCAGTTTAGCACCCAGAGAACTGAAACCATAAAGAATAAGGCAAGAGAATTAAAAACCCAGATAGCTGTCATTCCTGGTGGACTGACTAGCCAATTGCAGCATTTAGACGTATCCGTGAATAAGCCATTTAAGGAAAAAGTGCAAGAACGATGGAACAAGTGGATAGGAGAGCCACATCACGCCCTCACACCCTCAGGTAGAATGAAGCGGCCCTCTATTTCACAAGTGTGCGAGTGGGTAAAAAGATCTTGGGAGGACGTAAAGGCTGAAGTAATTGTTAAGTCCTTTAAGAAGTGTGGAATCAGTAATGCTCTTGATGGAGCAGAAGACAACGCATTATTCGAAGAAGGTGATACTAGCGATGACGGAAACAGTAGTGATGACGATATTCTCGTTTTCGATGATGATGATAGTGAAAAAGATTTTTATGGTTTGAAAGTGATTAAAGTCTAATTTCATGATAGGCAACGTTTTCCTTGAATCTGTGTTTTTTGTTGTGTCTGCTTTATTTTGTATTATGTTTGATTGCTTGCTGTTCATTCATTTATTCATTATTGAAATTTACATATCATGTTCAAAATAGCTTGCCGTTTGTTAATTTTCCTTAATAAAAATGTGTTTGGTAATTGCATTCAATGATTGTTTATTTGGCTACAAAACGTGAGAACTAAAAGAAATCACATTTTAAGTTATTGAGCGCACGGACTATTGAAACATTTTTTCCCTGTGTGTAGTGTGTAGCCTTTTAAATAAGTGTGCGTCTTATATGCCAGTGCGTCTCATATGCCGTCAAATACGGTATATCTAGTGAACCAGCTGTAGAAAATTACATTCGCTACAGCAAACCTAAAAGGCCAGGCCCTCAGTTGGTTCAAAGGAATTGGGAAGTTCCTGTTGGGGTATCGAGGTTCCAAAATCTACACATGGGAAAACTTTAAAACCATACTATTGAAAGCATTTTCCGTTGTTAAAGACTGAGCAAAGCTAGAGGCAGAATTATTTAGCAAATATCAGACCAATTTTGATGAGCTGATGGACCTCATCTTGAGAAAGA